CATCCATCCATTGTGTCAAGCACATTTGTACATTTGTTGCCACCATCGTTCTCAAAACATTTTCTTTTACTTGAGCCCTTGGTATTGGTACCAGCTCCTCATTTTTCCCCACCCTCCCTCACGAACCCTTGATAATTTATAAATTATTGTTATTTTGTCATGTCTTACACTGTCCGATGTCTCCCTTCACCCACTTTTCTGTTGTCCATTCCCCAGGGAGGGGGTTATATGTAGATCATTGTGATCAGTTCCCCTCTTTTGCCCCCCACCTTCTCCTGACCCTCCTGGTATCACTACTCTCATTAGTGGCCCTGAGGGGTTTATCTGTCCTGGATTCCCTGTGCTTCCACCTCTTATCTGTATCAGTGTTCATGCCCTGGTCTAGCTGGATTTGTAAGGTAAAATTGGGATCATGATGGGGCAGGGGGTGGGGAGGGACGGGGATTTCTGTTCTTAAAGTACCTCCCACCTCAATTTGTGACATGTTGTTACAGGTGTCTGAGGAAACTAAATTTTAAAACAAAATAAAAACCAGTTGCTGTTGAGTTGATGCCAACTCATAGCCACCCATGTGCTCCCGAGCAGAACTGTGTGTGTGTTTATTCCCCCTAAGGAATAATGCCCAGGTTTATAGAGACAGGTAGCAGATGATGGTTCCCAGGGGGTGGAAGGGATAGACTCGAAGGGTGACAGCTAACCCATGTGGGGTTTCCTTGGAGGAGAATTTAAAATTTATGATGGTGATGTATGCAAAACTCTCTATATACTAGAAATCATTGCATTATATATGTTAAGTGCGTGAAACGTGTGGTATATAAATTATATCCCAATAAAACTGTTTGAAAAGTTTTGTTTTGTTTTTTTTAATAATAAAGGAAATCAAAAACAGGAGCAATATGAGCCTCCTTTCGTTCTCCGACAAGTAGACTGGTGTGAGGATGGCTGAAGGAGAAGGGATGGGGACCAGCTGTTTCACTAGGGTCATTGTTCTCAATGGTTGAGCCAGAGGAATTCATAGAAACTAATGCAGCCTGGACAGGAGCTCTGGCAGCAGGCATCGTGGGTTATGCTATTGGGCTGCTAACCACAAGGTGAGTATTTCAAGAGTTCGAAACCATCTGACAGTCCCAGGAGCAAGATGAGAATTTCTATTCCCATAAAGATTTATAATCTTAGAAAACTACTAGGGCAATCCTACCCTGCCCTATAGGGTCACTGAGTTGGAATTGACTTGGCAGTGAACATGGTTGGTTGGGAATGCAGCCTGGAGGAGCTCTTGTGGTATAGTGGGGTATGTACTGGGCTGCTAACCACAGGGTTGGCAGTTCAAATCCACTAACTCCTCTGAGAGGAAATAATGAGGCTTTTTGGAAATGTCAATCAGAAATGCAAAGGGGTAGTTCTACTCTGTCAGGATTAACTGGCAGTGGTTTTGTTTGTTTGTTTTGGAATGCAGCCTGAGATTGATAGGTCTCAGCAAATGGTTAACTGATGGACCACTAGCTGAAAGATTGGAGGTTTGAACCAATTTTAGGTATGGCTGATAAAGAGAAACCAGAATGGCCCTGACTTGGAATGTGTGGGTGCAGCAGATAAACAGAATGAGAAGACTCACAGGTGGAAGCCCTGGAATGGGAGACTCAGTGAGTCGGGCACTGTTGTTTCTGAATCTGCTGATCAGGAGATCTGGTTGCTGTATATGAGATGCCCTGTTCTCTCAGAGAAGGATTACATTTCTAGCAGGGTGTTAACCCATACTTTTCCCCATTCCAGTTATCATTCCAGTACACCCACAAATGTGGGTCCTTTCTGGTTTTGCTTCATCAGCTATGACTGAACTGGACAGAACCGGTTCAAAGCCTTAGTTCGAACCCACTCAGGGGTACACAGCCTTGAAAACCCCATGGCCCAGTTCTACTCTGCCCAGTTCTGCTCTGCACAGTTCTACTCTGCACAGTTCTACTCGGCAGCACCAGCAGCGCTCCTGAGCAGCTAAGTGATAAGACCTCCAGGAAGGAATCTAATGAAAGACATAAAATACCTCCTGAAGAACAAAAAGATCAGAGTGAGTAGAGAGATTGACCATACTTCTAGATCAGAAAGTGTCATTTCAATCAAAGATCTCCACAGAGCTTTTCGCAGGGAAAAACGAAGGGCCGAGGATAATAGAGGCAATACTAGAAGATATTTAAACTGGAAGAGGACTTGGCATTGACCTTATAGACAATTATGATTAAGAGTGAAATCTTGGTTTAATCAACAAATTCAGCAATAGAAGGGGAGAGAGCTTCCAAGAACAGAGCCCTGTGAACCAAGGAACTGGGCTATGTCAGAAACAGCATTTGGAAGGCGATGTGGAAACCTGCCTACACTGAACTCAGGTGGTGCATTGGTTAAGGGCTTGGCTGTTAACTGAAAGGTTGGCGGTTTGATCCCCCTCGGTGTCTATAGCTGACATATGAGTCATGTGCAGTATGCATATTATAAAACAACACAAATTAGAGAGATAAAGGTAACTCTGTGGAAAGAATGGGGAAAAGATCATGAGCAGGCAAATTACAAAGGAGGCAAGTGGCCAATAATGCATGGAAAGATGCTCAACCTCATTAATGATCAGGATATGCAGATGAAGTAGATAACATAAAATGAGGTATAATTTCACATCCATCGGACTGACATAAAACTTGTAAGTTGAATGGCATCCAGGGTTGAGGGCCTAGAAAGATTAAGACTCTGAAACTCTGATATGAGTCAGATTGACACAACTAATTTTGAGAATGATTTAGCTATGAAATCAAGTTCATGATTTGCATATTCTAGGGCATTGGAGACACAATGTTGCCATGTTATTTATAATAGCAAAAAGTTGGCCTGCCTATCAAGAACAGGTACACAAACTCTCAGTGGAATGCTCTATAGAAAGAGCCTCGAACGGAGACCATAGACCTCGTTCTAGTTCTTGTTCTGCTTCTAATTGAGGTAGGAATTTCTTTTCCCTTTGCTTGGAATACTGTCCTCCAGATAGTACCATGACCGGGCTGCAAATCCCACCAGCTCAGACCAAATTCCCAGACCCCACTACCCACACAGCCAGCATCCCCAGCCCCTGACATTGCCCGCAGCAGGGCCAATAGGTACCATCGGATACATAGAGAAAAGATTGAAGTTGGGAAGAGGCAGTGTTGTTCAGTGGGGAAAGAGAGAGGCCCTCCTGTCAGGCTGACTTCAAATCCCTGGTTGTTTGGGTAACCTTAGGCAAGTTATTAAAACTTGCTGTGACTCCATTTCCTCTGGAAAATGGAGATGCTAGTAGTTTTCCCATCAGAAGGTTGTCAAGAGGAAAGGAGCTAATGTGCCAAAGGGCTTAGAACAGGGCCCAGTCTCAAGCAAGGGGTGGTCAACAGTGAAGTGCACGGCCGTGAAAGCCCATGAACTAAACTGCAGAGATCAGGATAAAGCCCAGGGAAAAGCGAGGGTCCCCCATTCACCTCACCCTTCTCTGAAACTTCCGGCTTCAGGAAGGGCAGTGCGCAGTCGAGTCCTAGGTGACACCCAAGGGATGTCAGGTTCTCGCCCCTCCTATTCTCTCCCCTCTCCGTCCTCACCCATTACTCCACAGCCCACTGGCCTCTTGGCTGCTCCCCAATCTGGAATGTTCTTCCCCACATCTTCGACTGGCTTCATCGCTCACTTCCCTGGCCACCTTGTCTGAAATCGCCCCGCCTTGACGCTTCTCTGTCCCTTCCTCCTGGGATGTGTCTTTGCAGAGGCTTCTCTCCCTGGCATTTCATGACAAGGCTACCTGTCGGAAGGTCTCCCTCTAGAACTTCTACTCCACCGAGGGCTTTGCCCTCAGCGCCCGGCACAGAGCAGGGGCTCAGCAACTAAGAAAACACAGCCCAAGGCAGCCTGGGAGGTCGCTGGGGTGCTCTAGCACCCAGGGCAGACTCGCAGGGCTTCACAGGGATGGAGGTGCGCTCCCTGCACAGGGCTGCGCTTCTGACTGAGGTCTGCAGCCTGGCCAGCAAAGCAAGATCTTCTCCTCTCCCTCCCTCCCTCCCAGCTTCTCCCTTTCCCTGGGCCCTTCCCCCAGGTCCCCAGGCTCCAGCTCTCCAGCTGCCCGAACTCTGGGCATACGCATCTTCTTCAAAGGACCCCTGCTGAGGCTATGGGTGAAGCATTGGCCTGCTTACGGCAAGGTCTGTGGTTCAAACCCACTAGCAGCGGCTGGACTGTGTATCTCTTCTCATAAAGCTGTATAGTCTCAGAAACATTAAAGAGCAGTCCTGCTGTCCAATATACGCCAAGAAACCAACAACCTCACTGCCATGGAGTCAATGTCCACCTATAGTGACCCTACAGGACAAGGTGGAACTGCCCGGGTGAGTTTCTGAGACTGTAATTCTTTCAGGGAGCAGAAAGCCCTGTCTTCCTCTGGGGGCAGCTGGGGGTCTCACACTGCAGGCCTGGAGTTAGCAACCCAACGTGGACCCACTATGCTCCTCGTGACCACGCCCTCTGTCCTATAGAGGGGTCGCTGTCTGGGAGGTCAGAATTGACTCGGTGGCAGGGCATATGAGTCGGTCCAACCCAGTCGTTTGGGCTTCTCGCCCCCAAGATATTAAAGATTTTAATTGATGCCCTTTCCCAAGAACATCTGCATTTTCAAAGAGAGAGGCCTGGCGGGATAACGCTTGTGTATGGCCACGTTCAAGGTGTTAGATTGTGACACAGGCTGTTGGAGAGGGAGGCGCTGCCTTCCTCTGCGATGGCTGGGGGACAGGGCATCCGGCAGGATGAGGGCGCCGAGGAAGGCAGAGAGATGAGGCCAAGTTCTCAGTGGACCCGAGGCCGAGAGCTGAGAGCCCCCAACCTTTGAATGCCCCGCCGGCCCTGCAGGTTCTGCTACCCATTTCCGGGCATGGGTCCCAGCTGCACCCCTCCAGAGACACCCCCCACCCGGGGTGGGGCGCTCAGGGCGCCCCAAGCGGAGGCCTTACCCATCTCAATCCCGCAGACCACCAGGGCTGCAATCACCGCGCCTGCGGAGGTGCCCGCGAAGCGATGCGTCGTTTCCAGCATCCGCGGGGCCAGGTCCCGCAGGGCGTCCACGGCCCCGGCCTGGTAGTAGGAGAGGAACCCGCTGCCGGAGAAGGAGATGGAATGAGGAGTGTCCGGGTCCCCCTTGAACACCTGCTCGTCCATGTCCTCGGCCTCAGGCCTCCCGCGGTGGGAAGGCGCCTAACCCGGCTCGGGCCTTGGGCTGCCTGTCGGGACTTGCTGCCCAAGCGCCGGTGCCAGCCGCGCGCCCGCAAGGTAGCCGCCTCTGCCGGGCCCCTGTGGCTCAGTCGGTGGCGCAGGCAGCCGCCGCCTGGACCTGTTCAGCCGCGCTGCGGGGTGAGGGCGCGGGGCCCCAGCCCCCCGGATGTGCGAGCAGGGCCCCGGGCCTGTGAGCGGGCCCCTGGCTTCATCGCGGGGCTGGCTCCATCGCCCGCTCCATCCGGCCTCCGCTCATCCTTCCCGCACTCAGCGCAAGGCCAGGCCCGAGGAGGCGGGCATTACTCCACCCTCAGCCTCCACACACCGAGTTGCAAAACTTGGGCGATAGTGATCAGCGGCGGGGTGCCAAGGAGTTAAATACTGCTCCCCCCCCCCCCCCCCCCCGGCCCCCGCTTTATTCCCACCTGGAGCTGGGCTACCACGTGTGGTCCTTGTTCAAGAGGTGGGGGCACACACTCCCTGCACACATACAGGCCCCTCCCTCTCACACACGCCGTCTGAGGCT